GAACTTGAAAACTGAAACCCTAAAGGATGAACAGATGCTGTAGTTGATGCACGAACTGAAGACCTGGTCTGAAGACCAAAGCATAAAACTAATGTGGTCCCTAGACAGTTGAGTAAGCTGGACCACGCGGACTATGTTTGGGGTTAATAAAGCACGGCCAACACTAATGGTCTGGAGAGAGCACAAAAATTATCACTGCGTATATGGAGGCAGAGATCAAGAGAATATATCTAAACCACACAAATTAATAGAAACCAAAGTCCACATAACGAGAAGGTAAAGGTAGGATAGATAACATAACTTAGGCGAGCCAACCAGTTGCTACTCAGAGGGGATCCTAGGTGGTGAAGTGAAAGCCGGGATCTGATACAATGGAATGGTCACAAAGTTCCAATAATGCAGGGCCTTTAGGAGGTCTTCAGGGAAACCAGTACCTTCAAGGCTCTGTTTCTCCAAACAAGCAGCTTATTAGGAATTCCCCACTGGTATGCCACAGCTTGATTATGGAAGATTAGTGACATTATTGAACTCTTCTCCATCATAAAAGCTGATAAATCAACAAAGATGGAGATTTCATGTTAAGGCTCCAGGAGAGATTGTAATTTTTTGTAACCTCCATTAGGGCTTCCTTCACCTTGAAGTAGTGTAGGTGGACTATGACATTTCAGGACATAAGAGGTTAGGCTTTTGAGTCTGGGTAGCTAGTGGGGTAGCTTATCAAACAATCTTCCACTCTTCAGGTCAGGAGGATCGCAACAAATAAATCTTGCAGAAAGCACTTCAGATTGGCCTTTAAAGTGGTGATTAGGGGCCACATGGAGGGTAAGATGTAAGTATATTGTTAGTTCACTGGTTTTAGTTGATGAAAAGGTTGTTTGTTCCAGGATAAAGACTGAGCACTCATGACATACTACAGCTCGTGGATGAAGCCAGGGCACCCCCCCAAAGCACTGTTCCAGGATCAAGACTTGACCAGTACTCTGCATAAACGTCACAGGAACCTTAATGCCCAATATGATCAGAAAGTGCGTTTGATAAAAGCAGCAAACGCAAGACAAGTAACTATTCAATGTACCCTATAGATTGTTTAACAGATAATAAAAAATTTGAATGAAAAAAAACCAAAATGCATTTATAGAAATGTGAACTGCAAAAAAAATTGCAGTGGTTACAGATCTAATTTTAAATACCTGAATCAGATGCCCATGTTTTCCCTTGTATAGGTTTGCATTTTCAATGCAACTTGAAATCTGTTACTAGTATAAAACTGCACAGTCACCCTCTCCTAAAATGAGTAAAATTAATATTTCCTAAAAGATAGAATATACTGGCTGTGTTGGAATTTCACTGAAATTGCAACCAAGTCAAGATATACTGAGACAAAGTAAGGACTGCTTTGTCTCTCTGTTTTCTACACCTGACACTACTAGACACTAGGCAGATCTACTGCTGTCTAGTAGTGTCAATCTCCCAGCCGTCACCACTAATGGCCGCAGAGATATTAACGGTCCACGGAATCCTCCATAGATCTCAATGTTGTACTTTGGCGCTAAAGCGCCAGGAGCAGAAGAGGACCGTCCAGAAGTAGATGATATCCGCAGAATACAGGTTCAGGTAAGTTAAACTTCCCTTACCCTGCTCCCCACAGCCACGGGTCCACTTCAGTCTTGCTTTCTCACACCATGGACTATTAAGTCTTGTGAAGGTCATTGGTGTACAGTTGACTTTAGCACAGTGTATTTGCCCTATACACATGTGACAATCTCATAAACCATTTAAAGATTAGGGGTCAGTCCACAATACTGCTTTGTAGAAAATTAATATCACAAGTACTTCTGTTACGAGATGGGCAGGCTCTATAAAATGTAGGAATTTCTCTTATGCATGGACATCAAAACAGTTTTATTATCTACTTTCTAGATGATAAAGCTAGATCGAAACAGAATTGTATTTATGCATTTTCAATTCTGGGTATAGATTGCCATGCAGTGATCATTTATAATTTTAATTATACCTATTACCAGAATTTTTGTATGTATTTTTTTGTTTTCAGCCTAGTGTTCCCATGTCCCATGTTAGCTGCATTAGTTTAATTTATTATTTTCTTTTAATGATATTATAACACTGAAAACATTTCAATGGAGATTATTATTTTATATCCACATTGTGTGCCGAACTGCTTGCAAATGCAGATTGGTTATTTAGTGACTGTTTCTGATGTAGCTAAAATACTTGCCAGTGCATTTATGCCGCTGAGCTCCCCTATGGAGAAAAGATGAGTGTAGAAGGGCATTTACGGTCTATCCAATGATGCATGCATTATTACCCAATACTTGGCATGCAGCATTTAGACATCAAGCCATGTGCGTATTTAAGAATTTTGTGTAATCATTTTAAAGTGGGTATCTACTGATCTTTTTTTTTTTTGTGTGTGTGTGTGTATGTATGTGTATATAGATATATAGATGCAATACATACAGTAGGAGGATCACACTCCTTGAGGCGTCTACAAAAAATATAAAACAATATAGTGTAATATTGCCAATAGATATATAAATGAATCAGACTTTTTAACAGACATTTCCAGACACTAGACTTAAGTAGACTGTGGACTTGTACTTTGTTGCAGTCTATTCTTCTTTTATTCTTATGTTGTTTGTATTTTATTACTGGATCAATAAATATCTTATGAAGAAAGAGTGTGTGGAAAGCGGCATTTTATCCTACTGAATCAGATCCACCACAAGAAGATCCTAAAGAAGGAGAGGGACATCCTACACAATGGTCCCAATGCTGTTCCCATGAGAGCCATATGTCTATATTTGGCTCTTGGTTTGTGAGTACCTGATCTCCTGTTTATCTTCGTTTATATATCTATTGGCAATAATACACTATATTGTTTTATATTTTTTGTAGATGCCTCAAGGAGTGTGATCCACCTACTGTATGTATTGCATCTTTGTATTTTTCAGAGTGGTATAAGGGGTTCCCACTCAGGTGATATATCACACTCACATTTCCTTCACTGTATATATTATATTTACTTTCTAAATAAATATATATATATATATATATATATATATATATATATATATATACATACATAGATATGTGTGTGTGTATAATATTTTGTAGGAATTTGTAAGAGAATCACAAAATTTAGTCCAGTTTGCTGTTCCTTGTCAGGTCTCCACAACTCCTAGTGTAGAAACTAAACCCCAGAGTTTCACAAGTTTTGGATAAACAAATATACTCTGTATATTTTGACAACTACGTTTGTGGCTGTGTAGGTAGGGACTAATAATCCTTGCTTCTTTTCAGAACATTTATCATCCCATCAAACTTTCTGATTTCCTAATTATCACAATAACATTGGTGCAAAACCTCATGGCCAGTAATATTAGTGGAGAAAAATAAATTTCAATATGAAAGTTAAATCTCACACAAACTAGGAGACTAATCTCCTCAATTACCTGAGATTTGAAAGATACTTGTCAAAGGCAATCGCTAAAGAACATTACCTTGTGCAGCTTTTATCCTTGTTTTAAAAAGTGATCACTAAAATGCTTCTGTGCACCCTCCAGAGAGCATCCATTATTGAGGTTCTTTTCTCAGCCTAGCTATCTATCCTTGATTTACATATGTTTTACAAAAGTTTCTGGGAACTATATAATGTAATGGTGGTTAATTGTGCGAGCCTTGTACGTCTATTGAATTTGTAGATCATTGTGAAACATGAAACGTGATACATTTACTTCCCAATTTACTGTGTAATTATTACAAACATTCCTTTTTTTCAAATCCCCCTTTAAAGCAACAAACGAACAATCCGGCAACAATACAGATGCCCCACTGCTTGTTTTAGATAATCTACTTTTAAGGTCTGAGAATGAATTAATGTAGGTTGACGAAATAGAATAGTTTGCTTTAACAAGGCTAGATCCGTATGAAGTTACAAGAGTGGCAGTTTTCAGCGAAACGCATCTTGGCAATTCCACAACAGTATTTTTGCATTTATAGCTATAATTGCTATTTTTATTCTATTTAGCGTTATGACTTTTTAAGAAGGTGAATTTAGTGCCACCGCTTGCCTTCATATAGAACAGGGCTGGATTCCTGGCAGGCAAACTATGATTTCAGAGATGGGCAGAACTCATCAACATCATAGATGGTCCATATTTTGATACCAAGGAACATTCATGCTTAAATCTCTTTGATGTAGCTGTACTAGTCGAATACTTAAACCAGGCCCTGGATGTTTTTCATGCAATGCTGTTTTTTTTTTTTTTCAATTAAATTAAAGAACAGCTCTTATCAAATTTATACTTTATTTTTTATTTTATTACATTTAATGAAATGTAATGTTTTTTTTTTTCCTTGATGTTTATTATGTTGGATCACGCTCTATTGTTATCTGACCAACTTTTGCTGCAATTGTTCTATGTGAAACTGCAGCAGTAAGCAAGTTAGGTTGCGCAGCAACACATAGCTACTGTTATCGGCAAGATTTAAAAAAAAAGTTAAATGTTCTCAAAAAATCAATCTATATCAATTTCAAAAATATCAGATTTCATTTAATGTAATGCTTCTAAAAATGAAAAGTGAAAATTTGATGAGTTGTCCTTTAAAAGTCCCGCAAGTGACATCACAACAACCGTGTAGTTGAGTGCAGGCACAATCATGGCACACAATGCATATAAGAAAGAGAAACCACAACATTGTTTCATTTTTCCTCTTCTCTGTATGTTTTCGCTATGTGGGTTGCCAGGTGTAACGGACAGTTTTCATAATAATGATTGACAGCATTGATGCAAATACCCAAGGTAATGAGGTATGGATTTCTATATTTAGATTCTTTTCACAGTCAACACCAACATATTTCTGTGAAAGAGGAAATAAAGGAACATAAATACAATTAGGAAAGAACAGTTGTCCTTTGTCAAATCCTAGGGAGCTCTAACTCCTGAAGGTATTGTCTGCACACAGTTGTTTTAAATAGATATATATGTGTGTGTGTGTGTGTGTGTGTGTGTGTGTATGTATATATATATATATATATATATATATATATATATACACACACACACACATACATACATACATACACACACACACACACACACACACACATATATCTATTTAAAACAACTGTGAATACATACAGTGAAGGAAAAGATTGTACAGCAAATGCTGATGCCAATCATTGATTATGGGGATGTAGTATATGCACCCGCACTGTAATCCCATATTAATAAACTCAATACATTGTATAACCCGTTCTGCCAATTTGTGCTACAATGTAATTATAGAACTAAATTGGCTGTCGCTGGAGTCCAAACGCACCCTTCATCTCTCCAGCCTTGTGTTTAAGAGATTTTCTGGGAAGCTCCCACTCTACCTGAGCAGAATGCTTTCCCCAGCTGTTCCCACCTCCCATAACCTCCGATCCGGTACCAGCACTTTATTTAGTCTACCTCAATACAAAAAGAAAGCAGCCCGATCCTCCTTCTCCTACAGAGCACCACAATTGTGGAACGACCTCCCGCAAACTTTCAAATCTTCACCCATGCCTAAAATCCTTTAAGAGATCCCTCTCTACATACCTCAAAACAGAATGCACGTGTCATGGTTGATTATATATTTCTTACCTGCTCTGTAAAATTTTGTATGTTTTGTGTATTAATATTGTTTTTGTATTTTATTGTATCCTATTGTATCAATGCAATGTTTTGTGGACCCAGGAGATAATATTTTATAAATAAATATTTTCTAAATTAATCAATATATTCTTCACTCCATAATCCCTATGCATTTGCTTTAAAACATACAAAATTAAGGTCCTAAACTGCAACTTTTTATAGCTTTTGTAAAAAATGTTAGTCTATACATTAATCTCTTTTTATTATCTTCTCGCTTGCTAATTTTTACTCGCAGAACCCGCTTGGTGCAGCACGTCCATTAAAGTTTACAAACCCAAATGTTTTGATTGAATATCTCGCGGTGTAACATTCTAAATGACTATTAATAGTCCATAGATTTAGAATGATGCATCCTGTCATCCTGCATTATGAATCCTATGAATTTTACCTTACAGCTGAATCCATTGCCAGTATGATGAATTTAGCCGAAAAATAAAATCAAATTTACTAGACTGTTGTCACTATAATATCTATTTAACATACATAGCACAGCACAAATCTAAATGACTGCTTCTGTATAATTTCTTAGTGTCCTTCACATCATCTTGGATGGATGTAGATTTTTGGGTGGGTTGGGGGGGGTTGTGGGGTGGTTGTTGTGTTTTTGTTTGTTTGTTTTTTTGCTAAATTAATAAAAGAAAAATGAAAAAAAAAAAAAATCAAAAAACCTAGCAACACCCCAATTAGATTCATATTACTGTTGTATTGACAGAATGATAATGGGAACTATAATTGATGGAGTATGTTTATTGTGAGTGACTAGCTTTTTATCGACCCAGACATTTAATGGTCAGAATTGTTTTAGGAATGATGATTAATGGTACCAGTCAAAATGCGTTGCCAATATCGAAAAGGCAATATGAATGCTGACGGTGATTCTTGTGAATAGAGAGACATTAAAACAGTTCTTCATTCATGAAATGGGAAAACCAAGACAACCTGATATACCCTAGTGTATTTCTTCATATTTTTAAAATCATTTTTCATTTTTCTTTCAACACTGCTGTGATGTGTTTACTTTTAGTAAGATGTTTGAATCTGCACGTGATATTCCTTCATTCTTTACCAGAAACCAATTTCTGTATTATCTGATCGTTGTGACCACTAAAAAACAAAAATATTAACTAAATTAAGATTTTATGCCGATCATCAAATACATTTGCTTTACATGGGGTTGTATGTTTTGGAATGTAAGCAAACCATGTGTGAACAAGTGACTTTTTAATGTTTCTGCAGAAATTACCATATGACTAGTTGGCCCATGACTGAGAATAATAAATACAATAGGGGGAGATGGGGAGAGAAAAATATTCATTTGGAATATGTTAAATGAAAGCCGCCTGGCACTTTACATGTTTATGTCTATATGTCTCATTTTCATCAAGTAGAGTCACTTTAAAAACAGTTGGGGTGCTGGTGTTTTTCTAAGCTGTGGTGTGGCTACGAATTGTAAATGATGCTAATGGATTGAGGCAATAAGCACGGTGTGATTACTTAACAGTGATGGACAGATGGCCAAAGGCTGGACAGCTCTTGCATCCAGGTGTCAGTATGACGAAGAATCTAGCGTCCATCCGTGCACATGATGTAAATGACACGCACATGTCTTGGCTACATTAATAGAATGTGCGTGTTTGACGTCAGTGGTACCCCAAGCATCTGTCTTCGCTGCGCAAGATGTATGGCTATAAAACTTCAAAACTGGAAATGTGACAACACCTCTTTGAAATAAGCAAACTTCTTATACAGAGTTGAAAATGGTGAACAGAATGTGCCAGTTAATAAACATTTCAATTATTTTATGTTTTTTTTCCACCGTTGAAGATTATTTTCTATTTCTAAAATTATCTTTTTTTTTATTTTCCTTTTAATATTTTTGGCATTGTTTTCCCCAAAGGTTTGAAAACTATCAAGCAGGCTATCATTTTTCCTTCCCTCTGGAACACATTATCCAGTTTAATATTTAACCGCTGAGCTCTTGTTCAATATTTAATATTGAACTGCAGTGAAAGTACTTGAATTTACTGGGGTACGACTTCAGATGATTGGATGGTAATATGATAGTCAAAATTTATACTTCATTCCTGAAGACATTCTCTTCCTGGTAAGTATGTATTTTAGATGGAAAGCATATCAACCTCGAACTAATTTTCAGATTTTAGAAATGCCTTTAGTCAGGGAACGTAGTCTTATAACTCAAGATGATAGAAATTCTATTTCATATAAATGCACTCTTTGCTATGGACTTGATCAATAAATTAAATAGATTAATTAAGTCAAGCTGTCAGGACCAAGGACTGTCACTAACTACAGGCAGCGGAGATGGGCCATTTATCACAGATGGGAACTCAACAAGAAAAGCCAGTCTTCAGTGTATAATTTTATAATGAATACGAATGAGTGGGTACACTAAACGTCTCACAGCAAGAGATTGTGCCTATCATCTGGCCATAAATTATCTAAATTTGAGCTGATATGTGAAATATAGGAAGCCTTTGAGTAAACTTAATGTATTTTTGGGGAATATTTTAAATCGAGAAGCACCATATTGTCCCACTTTAATTATCTGGACGGTAATTTCAAATGTGCACTACTGAGGAAATGTCATTTAGTCAGGCCTTAGAATACAAGCGATTCATTTATTTAGTTTTTAATGTTACATTCCTGAATGTAGAATTTTGACGGCGTCATATTCTTTGTATTAATTACAGTTGACATTTTGAGAATGTTGAAATGTTTTAGTAGAACAGGACAGTGGGGTATCACACTGTTCCACTCACCTGGAGTTCTAGACTTGAAAGACGGCTATGGAAATTGGGCAGTACAGACATATGGCTTCCCAACACACTTCATGGAGAGATTAGGGGTGACGAGCAGCAGGCAGTAGGGGAGTACTTGCCACATTTAGTGTTTAATCTGTAACATCTGCCTCTTTCACTATAAATGGAGACGGATCTTATTTCCAGTAACCTTTCATGCGTATGGCTTCTTGACTAAATATTTATGTAAACTATATTTTGGGTTAAATCTCACACAAACAGTGTAGCATGATATTGTTTATCTCTTGACCAAAACTTGTATAATCTTGGAAATGGCAGCTGATGTTTAGCTGTGGGCTTGTATTTCAGCACCAGAACGCTCTGCCCACCTGTCCTCCTGCCTTTTTAACTACTGGAATACGTAAGCCTCAGAGAGCTGCTGGTCCGTGGTGCTTCTGATTGGCTTAGAGCATCAGCTGACCATTTTAAGCCAATCAGTAGCGACCCATTCATAAAAAATGGCTTGGCAGATTGCTGCCCAAGCCTTCTGTTCTAAAGAATTTTAGAAAATGGAAGGGCAGGGGGCAGAGCGATCTTGCACTGGAGACGTTGGAATTATACAGTTTGTATACAGTTTAAACCCTAATGATAAGGAAGCACCAGGGTCCTACTGGACCATAGCAACTTCATATTGATGAAGTTGTTATGGTGACCAGAGTGTTCCTTTTTAAGATTTTCTAGGATGCTATCAACCCCATCATACCAAGGCAGGCTATAAGGACTTCACTATAACGGCTGGACAGACTTGTGTGCAGTATATTCCGTTGTTAGAATGGAATGCTAGCATCACTGCAATTTCCAATCACCTTTGATCATCTAAAATGGAGAGACTACGTATGTTGGCATGTAGGTTCTACATAGTAAAGTTATGGCTGTGAATGTCATTAATACTTCTGATTTCCAATTTATTTTCTTGTAGTCATATAGAAAGCCAAACAATTAAAAGAACACATTGATGTGTGTGTGTGTGTATATATATATATACAGTTTCTCACAAAAATGAGTACACCCCTCACATTTTTGTCAATATTTTATTATATCTTTTCATGTGACAACACTGAAGAAATGACACTCTGCTACAATGTAAAGTAGTAAGTGTACAGCTTGTATAACTGTGTAAATTTGCTGTCCCCTCAAAATAACTCGACACACAGCCATTAATGTCTAAACCGTTGGCAATAAAAGTGAGTACACCCCTAAGTGGAAATGTCCAAATTGGGCCCAATTAGCAATTTTCCCTCCCTGGTGTCATGTGATTCATTAGTGTTACAAGGTCGCAGGTGTGTTAAACCTGGTGTTATCGCTCTCACACTCTCTCATACTGGTCACTGGAAGTTTAACATGTCACCTCATGGCAAAGAACTCTGAGGATCTGAAAAAAAAGATTTTGTTGCTCTACATAAAGATGGCCTAGGCTATAAGAAGATTGCCAAGACCCTGAAACTGAGCTGCAGCACGGTGGGCAAGACAGCGGTTTAACAGGACAAGTTCCGTTCAGAACAGGCCTCGCCATGGTCGACCAAAGAAGTTGAGTGCACATTCTCAGCATCATATGCAGAGGTTGTCTTTAGGAAATGGACGTATAAGTGCTGCCAGCATTGCTGCAGAGGTT